TTGCTTCCTATGATACTGCTTTCAGAGCTTGATATTGTCACAGGTACACACACATACATTATGCTGGGTCAGGGACAAGGAAGGGTCATGAGGGATTAAGAGTATATATTTAGCTTATAATAGGAACCCAAGGCTTAGTAATATTGTTTATATTGTAAACAAGCTGGAATAGTGTTAAATGGGTTCCAAATGTAAGATTAACTTGGTTACAAGGTTAAGTAACATAAGGTATTATGTGGTATAAAGTTACCATTAGTTTTTCCTTTTCAAGAAACTGCCCAAATCAAGAAGGAAAGTAAAAAAACAGAATGATACACTCCCTGAGAGTAACTGATAACTGAAATGTTGAACTAAAGTGGGTGGAAAAGAAGCAGTGGAGACATGCCTGGCATGTGATCTTCTCCTTCTTTTCAGCAACAGTCTCCTGTTACTAGATGTGTACCCTCATCAGCTCCAAACTCATCAGGCAGCATGTTTAATCTGTCAGTTCTTCAGCCCACCAGCATCCTTTTCTACTAGATAGCCATTCCTACTGACAAGCTATGAACACTGTCATCTCCTCTAGAGTAAGAACTAAATTTCACTTTGCTCCATTATGATGTCACTCAGGAGCCAGGTGGTGGTGGCACATTTTTATAATCCCATCACGTGGGGGGCAGAGGCAGGTAGATCTCTGTGAGATTAAGGTGAGCTTGGTCTGTATAGTGAGGTCAGCTGGAGCTACAGGGAGACCCTGTCTCAAGCAAGCAAGAAAGCAAGCAAGCACACAAGCAAGCAAGCAAACAGTTACTCAGATAACCTTTCTAGAAATTTCCCATGGTAAAGGTGATGAGGGAATGGAGGATGAATTATTTGAGATGCCCAAGGAATAGGTACGATGCCCACCATCTTTATGCTCTATGAAGCAAATGAGCCAACTCGGAATTCATACACAAATTACCTATCCCACAGTCATGCCTCCAGATACTTTGGGGATTTTTGCTTTATCTCCCCCAATATTTGTTACCTTTTGAAAGTTACTTTTAAGATACTCATATTTCATACTGTAGTCACAGTTTTTCTAATTTATTCCTATCTGCTCTCAAATCAAGACAGAAGTCATCCAAACCAACCAGCTCAGCCCTTTCTCATGCTTCCCTAGATTCACCTTCATGGCAGAGGAACCTCCTAGAGGAGACAAAGACAATAGCTATATTTTTAAAAGAGAAAAAAAATATTATAAAAATGGAATGACCAAACACTAAGACAACACTCTCCATCAGACTTTTTACAGTATGCACTAGGATAGATCCATTTACCAGAAGACTGAATTCTGCCCATCTCTCAACCCTTCCCTTTGTTCAAAGCTTTCTTACAAATTGCAAATGATTCTGGAAGAGGTTGAGTCTGAGTTGCTCGGGGTCCTGGGAGTGTTTAATAGGCAGAGGGAAGTGTAGAGTCCATGGAGGGAGGAGACACAACAGTGTGGAATATGCTTCTTACTCTTCCATTTATAGGAGATAAGTTGAATCAATTTTCTTGGGGCAAGAATTAATATTTTCCTACTCTTTCTTTTAATTCCTTCTTGAGGTTGTCAGCTTTAATTGTCAACTCAACACAACTTAGATTCACCTGGGAAGAGTCTCAATTAGGGATTGTCTACATTGGACAGGTACAGGGCATATCCGTGTGTGAGGATTTACCAAGGAATATGTGGGAGACTGTCTTAATTAAATTAATTGTAGAGGGAAGATCCAGCCCACTGTTGGTGACACCATCCCTAGGCAGTGGGCCCTGAACTATATATGCAAGTGGTAAAAGCTAGCCGAATACAAACAAGCAGATAAGAAAGAAGCATCTCTACTCTTGACTGTAGATGTGGTGTGACCAGCTGTTTGAAGTTCTTGTTTTGACTTCCCTACAATGATGGACAGTAACATAGAATTATAAGCTGAAATAAACCTTTCTCGCCTACATCGATTTCTATTGCAGTATTTATCACAGGAACAGAAATGAAACTAGAACATCTTCTCACCTTATGCTTCTTTTTCATTGCTGTGATTCATTGGAAAACATTACAAATGTCTATGGACCCACAGACAGGGACCCAGGCTGTTCTTGGCTTTCTGATAGATTTCTATAGATGGCAAGTAAACTATCACCACCACCATCACCATTAGTATCACTGCCACCTGTGATCTTGTTAAAGGAAAGTATTCCCAAAGAAGCTGTCAGCTGACATCTTGTGTCACCCTTAATTCATGCAGACTAGTGCAACAGTGAGGAGAATTTTATAGAATAAAAAAGATAAATGCTCTTCTTAAGAAGACTAATTTGCATTAAAAATCTCACTATTTTCAAATTACAGCCATTTATTTCCTTAAATTCACAAGGTAACATAGCTAAAGTAACACTAAGGAATTCTGTTCATTTTATTCTTTCTGGGATATAGTGAATAGGACTGACTCTTGGGATCTTATTAAATTGTTGGGCAAGTTTGAAGGGTCCATATTTCCTGAAAGTTTAAAGCATTTTTTTTTTCCTTCACATTATGTCTTCTTTCAAACAAAACTCCAAAACTTCTGCATATTTAAAAATAAACTGTTAAATTTCCCTTGCAGCATTGTTGTATGTAGGACTGAATAGAATTTTGTGAAAGCATGGTCCATTTCATCCATCTGGTTCATTCAGTGTTGTGTGCTGTGTGCCCAGTAAGTCATTTTTCATTATTAAACTTATCAGAAAAAGTGTGACTTTTTCCCAGTTCTAATGACATGTTCACATATACTTTGTGACATGATGTCTTTGTCAGGCTTAACTCTAAATAAAACAAATTCTTAAGAGGTTTTGAAAAATTTGTCAAATGTATTTTTTTTAAATAGTGTACAAGAGGACTCACCTCTTGGAAAAGCCATGTCTTTTTGTTTAGCTTCCTGGAGGCTTAATCTCAGATCAATGTATACCACGGTTCATAGATGCATGAGTGTTTTCCTTACCCTATAAACTGAAAAATGAGAAAGCAGGGAGGGGGTGATGGGAAAACAGAAGCAGCCAGCCCCTCATGAGAATGTGAATTAGTTACTTTTCTCATTGCTGTGACACAATTTCTGACAAAAGCCATTTGAGGATGGAAAGGTTTATTCTGGCTCACATTTAGAAGTTATGGTCCATCATGGCAGGTAGGTCATGGTGGCAGAAGCTTCATGCCGTTGGTCACATTGCATCTGAAGCCAGCAAGCAGAGACATGAAAGCTGGTGCTCAGCCAACTTTCTCCTTTTTATGTAGTGTGGGACCTGTCTATGCAATAGCGGTGCTCACACATAGGGTAGGTCTTCCCACCTTAGTTAACTGAACCTAGAAACTCCCTCACATACCCAGGGGATTGCCTCCTACTTGATTCCAGATCCTGCCAAGTTAACAATAATTATTAGCCATCATATAATACATAAGGAGGCGAGGCCTAGGACTATTTCCTCATAAGTTGTGTACCTATTTCAGTTGTGGAAAATCCTAAGTTACCCAGGGCACAGTTATTTGTTGAGTTTCCTGGGTATGACTTGCTTGCTGGGTACCCAGGGAAAAGAGTTACTCACTGTCTACCTTGGGCTTGGTTTGCTCACTGTGTAGCCTAGGCACAGGAATCTTGTTGAGTATCCCTGACACAAGCATCTCCTCTGGGTGCCCCAGGCACAGAAGGCTTGCTGAAGGACAGTTGTGGTCAGGGAAGGAAAGATAGGGAGGCTCTGAATTAAACTCACAGTGAACTATTTACACCTGTGAATAGTTTCTGACTCAAGTGGCATTTCTCTTCCTGGTAAGTGTGTCAGCATATCAGTGGATCCCTGCCATGAACTTGCTGGTGTGGCTATAGTCTAAGCAATGATCCTGTAGACCATGAAGTGTCCAAGGCCAACCTCATATGATGATATGTCTCATCATATTTTGTAGTGAGAACACTCAAGGTCCAGCAGTATTTATTCACCTCTCAGAAGCTACTCCAACATATCAAGACTATGCCTGAAAGTCAGCCGATGGAGAGGGAGAACATGTGGAAAGCAGTCTTCATGAGGACTTTGTCCTCACAAATTTCAGGGAGTGTTACAATGAGAAAATAGTTCCTCACCTCCTATAAACTTAGCCTCATTATAGGAAAGATGCTTCATGACCATTCCTAGTGATGAACTTGCAAGAAGCATCTGATTCCTCCCACTCACCACAAGTTTGGAGAATGCTTCCCAGTATGAAGGTGCCCGTCAGCCTTGTTGGTCATGCTACCTGTCATTTACACATATATGCAGACTATATACAGAGTGATGATGTCTGAATGCTTTCACACCTTATATGGATCACATTATACTATAATGTACAGACTGACACTGTTAAGTGGGTGGATTAATTTTCCTTATTGAGACTTCATTTCAGGGTGTATTATAGAAAGCAACATGAAAATGATATTTTCATCGTCATCCAAAGATGGGTATGCTTTAAAAAACTTTTTCTCCTTTTTTATTGTTTTATATACATGCATATAATGTGTTTCAATCGAATCCACCCTCCATTCTCTCCCTAGATTCCTTCCCCGTCCCCTCACCACCTTTGGCTCCCATCTTCATGTGCCCTTAATTCTTAATAAATCCTTAATAAATGTAACAATAGATAAGTAAATTATAATTATTTTTCAAAGTTTTGCCCTTTTATCTTGTTTCCTTTTGATTATCTTCTTTTAGATTCACAAAAGATATACAGTTAAGAATGATAATCTTGATCTTTTTGTAAAGGCATCTACTTAAAAATTATTTTGAAATACATTAAAGACAAGGCCTGTTGCAAAATGCTGTTTTCCAGACAGATATTAGTCATGTCTTTGACATTATTTGTGCTTACGGAGATGCTGAAATCTACTCTTGAGCATAAAGTAAATATTGATGTCCAGAAAATAAGTTCATTAAGAAAGGCTCTTTCTTTTTGCTTGATATAATCTTACTTGTGTTAAGACTGTACCAATGTTTATTAGTATTACCTTAAGATTTTTGTGACTGCAGCCTCCTTTTCCAGAAGGTTCCTTGCTCTGATGCTGAAAACAGACTTGCGAAGCTGAAAATTATTAAGAGTTGTTTTAGTTTTGGAATACAAATGAATAGTGTATTTAATACTCATGAACAGATGACATTATTAAGACACTAACTATGAAAAAATTTTCACATAAGCATCACCAAAAATTGATTCTAATATTTAACATTCTTTTTTGCTTTTACTTTTTAAAATTAAAACTTTAAGTTTGCACATATTAAAATGGGCTTCCTCACGGCATTTTCATACTTAATGTGTTAGTGTACTTTTTAAAACCCATTCCTCTTCCTGGTGTCTACTTTCTGTACTTCCCCTATGACTGGTCCTCTTCCTTCCCCCATGTCACACGGATTTTATTACCTTCTCTTTTCCCTCTCCCTTACTTCCTCCCCTCCTATGATTCCCTTTCTAGTTTCATTACCTACACACACATTCATATAGATATAATATACCAAATTAACATGGTACATGGACACACACAGATACACATATACACAAATATATGTATATTCAGTCACACACATCTATAATTTTAAGCCTAAATTCTGCATATGAGAGAAAAATATATTTGTCTTTCTGCATCTAGCTTATTTACTTAACATAATGATTAAGATTCTTTCCTAGTTTTGCTTTTATTTGGGCATAACTGCCAACTAACTGTGGAGGTGCCTGTCACTGATACAAGATAATGTACAGTGTAATGATACTGTCCTTCATCCGAACAGGATATTTAGCTTCCAGAGAATTCAAGGTTGAAACTAATATTTGGAATGTTTGTCATTCTTTAGTAAAATGTTTTCCAACCTATACCATATTACTGCAGATTCCTGAGCTGTGATCCAGTACTAATTTGATTGTGGTTCAGGAGCTGTTTTGTTTTCAGGCACAGGAACAGGTGAGAGGAAGGAAAGTTCAAGGTTTGCCTCTACGTGATGATGATAAAGGCTATTCCAGAGAAGAGGATTAAGAAACACATCCAGCAGGCTAACCACAAATCAGCACTGCCATGCTCACTGGCTCATGGTAGATTTGTGTACAACTTTCACAGAGGGCCAAGTAGTCAGAACAGCAGACAGGGAGCAAAGAAGGGCTCCATCCAGGGTAGATTCTTGAGAACAAATAGTGGAGCACTTCCAGTCATCAGCACTGGGACCCAGTGATGGAAGGAGAGAGCCACTCTGTCACCAACAGCTTACGTTTTCTAAGCACTTGGCACAATATCAGTGACCATTGGTTACAAAAGAAAGATCAGAGCCAGAGCTCTTGGGTTCTGGGATTGAAGAGCTCAGTGTGGTAGGCCAGGCTAGGACACTTGACCTTGTTATTGAACAGTATAAATACAGTCAGCAGTAAAGGGGCAGACTATGTGCACAATAGGAAGGGGCTCCCCCCAGTTGGTCTGGGGGAGAACAAGTGTTCCTATAACAGTCAGCCATGACTTCATTGGAGAAGTAGAAGTTGTGCTGGACTTTAAGGGATTTCTACAGGCAAAGATGGACAGGGGTTAACTTGGAAATGCAAGCACAGAACATGTTAATTTGGTATAAACTATCTACGGAAGTATTATGCTGACTGGGGTTTTAGGCAGGACAAGTGGAGGAAACACTCTATGTATACTGTGTTACAAAGTTGAAGGCAACAAAAGGAAGTGGCCCCAGAAAATTCTGTATTCAATAAACGCAGGTCATCTAGTTTACTTTCACCAACAGTTAGGAAGCTGAGGCCCTAAGCTCCAGAGCTCAAATCTGCAAACCAGTCTATAAACAAATGATGTAATGTTAACCAAGATGTCCATATGGCTAGGCCTTGGAAAGGACCAGAATCACAAATCCCTCCTTTCTCTTTTGTGTATGTGTGTGTTTGTGAGTGCATATATGGAGGCCAGAGGTGAATATCAAGTGTCTACCTGTACTGTTCTCCATCTTGTTTTTTGAGGCAGGGTGTCTCACTGAACCTGGAGTTCAGTGACTGCCTATCCTGGCCAGCCAGAGAGCCCCAGTGATCCTTCTGTCTCTGTACCTCAGTGCTGAGGTTATAGATACTTACCATCACACCTAGCTTTTCATGTGGGTGCTAAGGATCTGAACTCAGTTCCTCTTGCTTGCACAGTAAACACTTTACCCACTTAGCCATCTCCCTGACCCCCACAAACGGGTTCTTGCTATCACGACTGACCACTCACCACAATGTGCAGCATAGCTTTCTTGTTGAATAGTAGATCTGAAATGAAGCTTAGGATCATTGCGCATGTTGGCCATTCTCCGTGTCCCCATGAGGAAAGCTTATTTATTTATTTATTTATTTATTTATTTAGATAATGAAAAACTGAATTGTTTTGCCATTGACTCCCAGGAGAATAAAATCACATATTGACAGGGAGACAAACGTGGCTGCCGGTTATTTAGAAGGTACATATTCACAGTAGTATATAGAAGGCTACTTACATGAAAGTTTCCAGAAACTTTCCTACATCTTCTCTACTCCTCTAAAGAGGGGACACTGAGCCAGTTTCAGAGTGTCTGAGCTCTCAGCACTCTCAAGGGAGCTATTCCCAGCATGGAGACACAGCTGAACAATAGCAGAGCTGAAGGGTATATCAGGGAAGCTCTGCTCTGGTAACCTCTATGCAGTCAGGTCTCAGAAGTTGGGCCCAGGATACAAGAGAGCCCACAACAGCCTGCCATGGGTTAGGAGGGCCAATCCCACCACTCGCAAAGCTGCCTTAATTGTTTCCCCGCATAAAGCAGCAATTTGAATTCAGGTACCTGTCTACTGCCTTACAGTGGAGAAGCTGACACTGAACACATAGTCCACATGTTAGAAAACCATTTGGGGATAATATCTAGTACAATAAATTTGAATTGATTAAAACAAAATGCACTATCAATACGCTTAAGGGATTCCTTGAGAACTGTATTACAAGCAACAGCAGAAGTACCAGAAAAATAAGTATTTAAGCAGAAAAACTTCATATTCAGCTTGGTATGTTCTTGAAAAGGGAGTGTGTGTGTGTGTGTGTGTGTGTGCATATATCATGAATAAAAGCATATCTATTTAATGTACTAGATATGCATATACATTGCTGCACTTGTAATAGTCATTATTCTTCAGTGTTTCTTGCTGTGATAGTAAAGCTTCATATTTTTCTTTCACAAAGATCGTCCTTAAGATTGTGTCACAAAGAACTCAGAGCTACGCTGCTCTGCAGTGCCCTCTTCTGGCCACAAAAGATACTGACAGTCACCAGAAATCAGGAATGCACAAAGCCCTTTAGATAATAGATTGTGAATTACAGCAATGAAAGTAATCAGTATCCGCATATCCTGAATCTAAGTGTGTCACATATGCAGGAACTAAGAAGGGGATGGGGCGCCCGTTTGGATAGAGCTTTCACTGGAAACGAATGATGAGTTGAAAAGATTTTCATGTCCTAAGGTTTTATTTGCAAACCTAAAGCACTTGACCTCATCAGGTAGCAATTCCTTGACTTAACGAATAGAAATAAATAAAAATTTAAATTTAAATGTTCAAATAATACAGAAGTGGTATTTTTAACAACTGAAACTTTTAATTTAAAAGATGTCTCCACCTTTATTGTTCAAGATCTTGGGTTCGGTCCCCAGTCTCCCCCTCTCCCCCGACCCAGAAGCATGCAGTCACACACACACACACACACACACACACACACACACACACACACACAATCGTCTCCACCTTTATTGTTCAAGATCTTGGGTTCGGTCCCCAGTCCCCCCTCTCCCCCGACCCAGAAGCATGCACACACACACACACACACACACACACACACACACACACACACACACACGCATGCACTCACATATGCACATACACTCACATGCAAAATGATGCTTCCAGAATTGCATTCAAGAACCAAGGCCCAACTCGGTTTCTGTAGAGCTACTGTAATTTGGATTGGAAAGCACAGCAATGGATTTATGGCATTTGCTGATGTTTTAGAAAGGTCTTTTAGTCAAAGAATGGGAACACTTCCCCTGCAGCATCCTTGAGTGTGGAGTTTGCTGAGGGCACAGTCATGGGGTAGTTAACAATTTTCTGTCCTCTGTGTTTACTGTGAATCAGTGGCTGATCCACAAGTCTCATCAGGTGCATTTGGGTTTGATCTCTCTGACAGGGCCTTTGGTGGTGTCATGTTATGTCACTAGGAGGCACGTGCTGCCCAGCATATCTCTTTTTGTGATATTAATAGCATCAGTGACCACTGCATAGACTCATCTAGACTCATCCTCTTTGAAAAAAAAAATCTTTTTTTTTTTTTTTGCATTTCAATGAAATCATTCTTTAGTGGGGAGTTTTCCCTCCTGTATTAACTGGTTATCTATCAGTATAATTCCATGATTCTGGATCTTTACTTACTAGTTTTTAAATAGTTAACCAATTTTATGCCATCCTTTTATAGTGACTATTTACAGTGTCACTATGAACTCCCAGTTTAGATGTATTTGGTGGATTTCATTTCAATCCATTAGAGTTTTCATTCTTATCCCAGGTTGAATGATCCATTGCTCTCACATAAGCATGTACACTCACATGCAAAATGATGTTTTCCATTGCTCATCGATCCATCAGCACGTGGGTGTGTGTTTTCCAAGAGCATAACCTGGATTCTGGCAGAGCTCCTTGTCTCTGAGTTTGTCACTGTTTCTGGAATTCACCTGAAACAATCTGATATTTTCAATGTAAACTCAGAACACACAAGTTTTCCATGGGCTCGTCTATATTACATCTATCTCCTTCTCTTTCCCCTCCCATTTCAAGACTCTCGATTATCAAGGATACAAGGGATGACAGAATTCGACTATCTCCTAATCACTCACCAATTTTATTTCATAGTTTATAGACAATCTCAGAATAACACATTTATAGCCACACGGCCAAGAAAACCAGTGGGCATTAAAAGATCATTTGCCTGTATTCTTCCCCTTTGCCCCATCTGTGCTCCCACACCATCAGAGCAGACCGCTGAGGAGTATTTTGTTCTTTAG